GGAGAGTGCCTGGTGCAGGTATTGACAACAGTCGCCTGTACACAGGAGGGTCTCTGGTGCAGGTATTGACAACAGTCGCCTGCACACAGGAGGGTCCCGGTGCAGGTATTGACCAGGTGAGACCTGCGATAAGGGAAAACTCATCAAGGCCTCAACTTGTCCCACTCGCCACCGGCATCGCCCCGCCCTGGGCACGAGATACCCGGAAAAACTGGGAGGTGAAACAGTTCAACATGGGAGAAGTGTAAGTACCAGCAGATGAACATGGTGTGTAAGTATCAGCAGATGAACATGGTGTGTAAGTACCAGCAGATGAACATTTAAAATGTCTACACACAGATGTGAAAAAAAAAGGATGCACATTGGATTTGTGTACAAACAGCTGAACAACAAATGCACACATACAAAACGTATTGCGTATTATGTCACGTCTGTTATCAACCTTAACAAAAAAAAGTTATTTTGTAATAAGAAGCCCTCAGTATGTAACATATCCCATGTTTAAGAAGTGAAATAATATATTTTTATAATGTGGTTGCTATTGTTTTTCTTATGATTGTTTTTTGCTGTTATTTGAATTGTGCGTTGTTTTTGTTGTTTTTTTTTTATTTTTTTATATTTTTTTATATTATCAACACTTTTTAAAAAATAGATTTATCTTTTAATTTCGACAAAAATGTTTAGAGGAAAAATAAAAAGTGTATATTATAAAAAGGAGAAATTGATACGTACGCACATACAAGAAATCACCATAGTAAACGACTATCGCATAAAAGTAGATAATATCACCTACGTTTTTTACACTTTTGTCAAGTAGAGCGTGCCTGATCTTACCCAACTATGATGAGTGTCTAACTCCCGTTAGGGAAAATATAGGCGGCTGGGCATAGCGCTTACCGTACTATCATTACATATGCCGAGGTCACAGAAGGTGAACTCTACTTCACTTGCTTCTTAGACCGTTAAGTTCGTAAGTGAACTTTACAGTTCTCGCAATACTGATACAACCTACATTACACTTCAACAAAAAATGATGTAGGTTAGTGAGAACAACTGAGATAGATGTATTTATCAATGGCAATAAAGCAAATGTCTGATCAATATCAATGGGACGACTACCACCCCATGTAAACACAAGCCCCTGCGTGTTAGGGGGTCGCATAAACAAGCCCCTATGTCACGTGGTCAGTAGCCAGTAGATAAAGAGGAACCAGGTCACGTGGTTAGCGGCCAGTAGATAGAGAAGAACCAGGTCACGACGGCTGACCCGCTGAAATCTACCATCTCCCTGTCGGCCAGCACAAATTGATCGATCTGACCACAACTGGACAGCGGTCAGACATCACTAGGCCAATAGCTGGACCCTCTCCGGCCAATAACTGGACCCTCTCCGTCCAATAACTGGGTCCTCCCCGGCCAATAACTGGACCCTACCAAGCCAATGACTAATTCCAGTGCTAAGATATGTTTAAGCTTTTATTCGCATTAAAGAGAACCCAGATTTTTCTTCAGCCTTGGTTATTTTTAGGTTTGGTCTCGGATAGAGTCAATAGTCGTTTGTTGTTTGAGTACCGTAGAAAGATGTCCATAAACAAAACGGCTCCCTTTCCCCACCACATTAACCTAGATCTTTTACATCTTCATAAATACAGAGGGAAGTATAATATACGTATAGCTACCGATTATAGGGGGACTTTGCTAGTGTTAATGTCGTTACATAGTAAAGGTTTGCAGTATATCTGGGAACCTCCGATGAGGCGTGAATTACGCAGAGTACAGTCCAATGGATGCTCGCAAGGAGAAATCGTAGCTTAGTGAGAGAAATAGTATCAATTGGACCTTGAGAAAATAATATTCAACTGGACCTTGATAAAATGGTATTCAATTGGACCTTTGATAAAATGAAATTCAATTGGACCTTGAGGAAATGGTGTTCAATTGGACCTTGATAAAATTGTATTTAATTGTACCTTGAGGAGATGGTAAGAAAGACCTGGAGACATGACCTGAAAGAAGACACCTGGAGAGACTAGCCCTGGACAGAGACGTCTGGAAAGCTCTTGCCAGCGGCCTATGTCCCAGTAGGGACGACAGGCAAACACGATGACACGATGAGGAGATGGTATTCACTTGAACCTTGAGTAAATGATATTCACTGGGACATTTATCAAGTATTTTTCGCCAGGACCTTGATGAAATGACCCGCACAGGTAAATGCCGTACGTAGTGTGATGACGCTAGACAACAACATGTCGACACAACAAGGACAAGGTAGAGTGTGTGAGATCATCAGGTGTGTACAAGATATTCATTAACCCACACTGTGTTGTCCAGCCGTGATCGGACATCAAAAGCAGCGAGGTCAACTCACAACAAGATAGGTGCGGCAGAGACTAAGGTTAATGGCTGGTAAACGGAAAAAAAGTCACAAGAAAAAAAAAAAACAGAAAAAAAGTCACAGTTTTTGCTAGGAAAAAAAGTCACAGAAAAAAAGTCACAAAGGAAAAATGTTATCGGAAAAAAAGTCACAGAAATAAAGTCACAGAAAAAAAGTCACAAAAATATTTTTAGAAATATTTTTATTAATTTGTTAAGAGTTGTAAAATTTTGTATGTTTATTGTTGTGGGTTGTATTTTTTTATAGTATAAATTATTTATAGACGTTAAAAGACTTATCATTTATAACAATAGTAAGTAAAAATACTCTAAGATAATTAACACAACAATCTCAACTTTGTTACTTATTTAGTTAAATACGCGGTAGAAAAGTTAATTATAAAAGAAATTTAGGCACATTTTGCCGATGAGTTGAGGGCAGCAAGTCAGATGAACTTACCATTTCACGGTAATTTAATATTGGTATTTAAAATAAAAAAACACGATGAAAAACGTGGACTTTGGAGAATTCTATTAAATTCTTCTAATCTTAAGTTTAAAATAATTACAATCTACATACTTCATAATAAATATTTTTAGATGAATTATAAAAATTCATATGCGTATACAGCCTACACACATTACATTACATTCAATTAACCCTAAGTTAATTTGCACTCTCTAAATATTTAATACATAAAAGTAATAACAAATATCATGCAAATATATATTTGTGACTTTTTTCCTGTGACTTTTTTTCCTGTGACTTTTTTCCTGTGACTTTTTTTCTGTGTTTTTTTTTCCTGTGTTTTTTTTCCTGTGACTTTTTTTCCTACAATCTAATGGCTTGGGTGTTGGAAAGAAAGGTTAAGGGTTAAAGGTCAGTCACTGGCGCTACACTAGTTTGTGGCGTGGTACTAAAAATACCAAATTACAATTAAAATAAATTAGAAGGTGGGAATTATCAAATCCGAAAACATATTTTCTTGTTAACGTTTAAAAAAAAACTCTTTATCATTGTCCGCAAAACAATTTAAGATTTATTTTAATATATATTATTTTAAACTTCGCTAAAAAACATTGCTTTAATTACTTATAACAAATCATGCAGGGGGTATGCTAACATAAAATATGTGAGACCCACTGGTGTAAGAAACCCAAAACCCAATCTTCATATTGATGGCAAATGAGCAGAATGATAATTGCATTTTTAATGCGAGGCGCCTTATAATAATGGCATGCTCCAATTATTCAATGCCACTGAGAAACGGGGAAGCGAACGGGTCGTTAATAGCCAATTGATAATCGGGATACGCGATCTAATTATTGCTAGAATTAATATTGAAAAGGAGTGGGGTATTTTTTTATTGGCATCGCGGGTATGAATATAAACGATATGATTTTTTAAAGGATGTTTATAAAATAAAATTCAACCCATTCATTTTTTAAAGTTATCAATTTTAACGCTTTTGATCAATTTTAACGGTTGTGATCAATTTGAACGGTTGGGTGGAACGTTAGCCTAGACGTGCTGGAAGTTTTATTCTATCAATGTTGATGTGGAAGATATATTGCTCCGTGATCTGTGGGGCAATGCTCTCTGTGGTGAGTGGAGGGGGGGGGGGGTATGTGTGTATGGTGAGGGGGGGGGGGGGGGCGGTCTCGGTATTCGCCAGCGACCAGTCGGATATTCTTGTCGTGACGGCTTGCTTTTTGACGTGCACAAAATGGAAATATGTACTTACAAAAAAAAACATTTCAACAATATTTTATAGTAGGATAATTCAATACTTAAGAAAGACAAAAAGCTTGTGTAAAAAAAACTTAGAATTTATGAAGTCTATTAAATTATCCATAAAGGGAAAAAAATGCATATAAACACTGCTGTTAAAATAATTGAAACCGAATCTTTTTTCAACGTAAAAAATGAAAGTAAAAAAAAAAACAACAACAGCGCAGCTGAATCTTGGCGTTGTATTAAAGACAACAAACTGCAGGATAAAATCATTTTGTGCGATGATTTTTGTGACTGGCATAGAGAGGGGGTCTGTAAAGGCTGTGTGCGTGTGAGGGTGTCGTTAAAAGATATGCACAGTGGGAAGCCAGGGCATAGCCTCTGGATGAGAAATAACACGGAGACACCAATCCATTAATAGCGGAGATGTGGTCGGTAGGTTAGGGGCGTTAGGGTGGATCTGTGGTTGGGAGGTCAAAAGTGGGAGGGGGAGGGGAGGGGGGTTAAGGTTGGCTGGGTGGGAGGTCAGAGGTGGCTATAGGGGAGGGGGCTATTGGTCAGGGTCAGAGGTGGCTGCTGGGTTGGAGGTTATTGGTGACTGCTGGGGTGGGGGCTATCAGAGGTGGCTTATGGGTGGGGTTATTTGGGATAAGAGGTGGTTGCTGGTGTGGGTGGGGGGGGGTTGTAGGTGGGGGAGATGGCTTCTGTGTTGGGGGTTTAGTGAGGAAACTTCGGGGATCAGAGATCATAATGATATTTTTATTGTTGTTTCTGAAAGATGTATTTCTTGGTAGGGTTGTTGTGTTGTGATAGATAGAGCTGGTGGTTTGTGGGGAAAAAGTCTGTGTATTGATGACTCTATTTTAGAGAAAATGTATCAAAAACTTACATGCAAATTTGGGGTCATCTTCGTGCATAGACCAGAAGCAGTAGTCGAACGCGAAGGTCTGAAAGTAAAAATAAAGAAACCATTGTTTACATTTAAAATGGTAGTATTCAATACATTCATTGACAGATGACAACTCATTCATTTTCAATAAAATAAGATGCTCTTTTAAAACATTATTTTAATGAATTGAAAACTCGGGTAACTAGACTGAGGGTGTCTTTAAAAATGGGAGCCAATGAGAACTTATATGAATGCGTACTTAAAACAATTACAACTGACACCAGCGCCACCAACAACATTAACCCAAGCCAGCGACTATCAACATCAACTCCACTTAGCCTAATGCCTTCAGCTATGAACATTAACCCCACTAAGCATATTGCCCGCAACTAGCAACATGCGCACAACTAAAAACATTAACCCCACTTAGCTTAATGCCCACAGAATTAACCCCCCAGTTAGCCTAATGCCTTCAGCCACCACCATTAACCCCCCCCCCCACTTAGCCTAATGCCTTCAGCCACCAACATTAACCCCACTTAGCCTAATGTCCACAGTTATCAACATTAACCCCACTTAGCCTAATGTCCACAGTAACCACCATTAACCCCACTTAGCCTAATGCCTTAAGCCACCAATATTAACCCTACTTAGCCTAAAGCCCACAGCTACCAACTTTAACCCCACTTAGCCTAATGCCCACAGCCACCACCATTAACCCCACTTAGCCTACTGCCTTCAGCCACCACCATTAACCCCACTTAACCTAAAGCCTTTAGCCTAAGCCTATCATCCCTACACGTCATCCCCTCAACAAACAAACACACTCCAATTACCTTGGCTGATTTCCTTGAGGCACCATCATGTCTGGAGAAAAAAAAAACAGGTAAAAAACGTGAATTAATAATAAATGAAACAAATGTTAGCATTGTATTATCGGCCTGCTCTCATGGCACAGCTCATTATAACGTGACCTGGGCCGTTTCTCTTTGTTAAAATATTTTACTACAGCACTCAGTGCAAGTGCTCTTTGTTACGACCAAGAACTCATGTTGGGCCACTGAGATACAGGAAGGGTAGGGTAGCACGGTCTAAGGACAACCGCTGGTCTAAATGGTACCGAGATAGATGGTTGGGTGATCGCAGACTAGATGGTACCACGATCTACGGTTGGTAACCGTTGTCTAAATGGTACCACTTACTACGGTTTGGTAACCATTGATTATATGGTACCACTTACTACGGTTTGGTAACCATTGATTATATGGTACCACTTACTACGGTTTGGTAACCATTGATTATATGGTACCACTTACTACGGTTTGGTAACCATTGATTATATGGTACCACTTACTGCGGTTTGGTAACCATTGATTATATGGGACCACTTACTACGGTTTGGTAACCATTGATTATATGGAACCACTTACTACGGTTTGGTAACCATTGACTAGATGGTATCACTTGCTACGGTTTGGTAACCGTTGCCTAGATGGTACCACGATCTACTGCGTATTAGCTGTTGTCTAGATGGTGCTACGATCTACGGTTTATTAGCCGTTGTCTAGAATGTACCAAGGTATACAGTTTGGTAACCGTTGACTAGATGGTACCACTTACTACAGTTTGGTAACCGCCGGTCTAAATGGCAGCAGGCAAACATCAATAATTGGTATCGTAGGCCGGCAGCCGTACAAAACGGTTAGCTCTTAACGTTACTAGGGCGTCACTGATGATTGGTGAGTGGTTGACCAATCAGGAAACACCGCAGACATTCGTGTTTTCGCTGTCATTGTCTTTCATTAGCACCGATTTCAAACTATATGAGTGTGGGGGGGGGGGGGGGGGGCGGGGGGGGGGGGGGCGGGGGGGGGGGGGCAGAAGGGAAGAGAGAGAGCGAACAAGTTAACATTATTGTAATAAGACGCCGAACAAAAATAAAAACTGAAATAAAGTTAGTGAACATAAACATGGTGGTGTGAGTTATCTTTGCTGTACACAATCCCAAAAGCCTCTACTGCCATCTAAAAATTTAAGTATAAACACACCAATACGTTATGTGTGTACACAGCACCTTACTATACAACACAAAAACCCAGGAGTATGAATCCCTTACCGCTGAACTAGTATCATTCACCTGAAAAGGGGCTTTCACATACGTTCAATTATCGATTAGCCCTGATATCAACACACTCACATTCGAGTATCGCCTATTATGATACTTCAGCCTTAAAACCAAACTAAATTAGTGTACGTTGATCCAACACAAGTGTATATACTAATAACAAAAATCAATCAATGAACTAATTATGAAAATAAGCGACCATTACAGTTTTCCTTAACCCGCTATTTTTGTATTTGTTTGAGAACCTCTGATCCCCGCCATATTCAATTTCAAATCTCCGATATATTTTTCCAATAAACCCGTTCACTTAATGTGACCCTAATAACTCATTGAACCGGCTGATCATTAGTAGCGAGCCGATGATGAACTCCCATTCAACCAGATTCGGTTTGCTTTGTCCCGTCCCCATCTCCCTTCATTTAACCCGGGCCCGGGCGAAGGGGCCGCCTCAATGGGGCGCTCATTACGGCAAGTCGCCTCGACAGTTTCACCGCTGGGTTGATTCAAAGCTGCCTACGGTGGAGGTGAGCTGGCTTAGAAAGGGTTAACAGGAGGGGAAAAAAATCTTTAAACTATGAAGAAAAAAATATTCAAACAATGCCTGATGCTTTTTTTTTTTTTTCAAAACGCACGTCAATAAATTATGGATTGATTTGTGCGCGCGGCTAGCGGCTAATGCTTTATGAAAATAAAATAAAAGGATTAGTCTATGAAAATTTAAATGCGCCAAAGCAATTTTTATTCCAGCTACTCCCACCCCCTTCCCCCACCCTAATCCCTTTATTGTGGCGTCTATAGTTCTGGGTAAGGATCTCCAATCCGCTCCCCCACCTCCAACCATTTCACAACACAGACAGAGCCTGACATATGGATATAAAAAAAAACAAGAAAAAAACAGACGTACAATCAGAACTGAGCGTCAGACGTCCAGTTGTGTCTAGCTCTCTTCTAGACCAGAATTTGTATTTGTTGCAGTAGGCATTTGTACTACTAGACTAGCATCTACAGCTAGACTATCATCTACAGCTGGACTATCATCTACAGCTAGACTATCATCTACAGCTGGACTATCATCTACAGCTAGTCTATCATCTACAGCTAGTCTATCATCTACAGCTAGTCTATCATCTACAGCTAGACTATCATCTACAGCTAGACTATCATCTACAGCTAGACTATCATCTACAGCTAGACTATAATCTACAGCTAGACTCATCTACAGCTAGACTATAATCTACAGCTAGACTATCATCTACAACAAAACTATCATCTACAGCTAAATTTCCATTTGCAGCTAGTCTATCATCTCAACTGGACTAATCTATAGCTGGACTAACAGCTACATCTGGACTAAGCCTCACCCCCCCCCCCCCCCCCCCCCGCTTCATGTACTCTTAGAAAAAGACTGTTCACACGAGTACGGCAGCAAGAAGCTGGAGGGACGCAGCCTTTGATGAAAGACAATTCAACTCTCGCGAACAAAGACACGAATGATGCGCATCACGCAATGGCGCCATAAAATCCGCAGACCACGAGACGCGTGTAGAACAGAAAGCTAAACAAAGGAGGTTGTCTGGGGTTTACGTGCAATGGCAATCACAAGTTGGAATACATGCAGTAAGTTGCATTACACGAGCTTTCTGCTCTGTATTTGGTTTTATTGAACACGGAAACACTGGGTATTTTGTGAGGGTTTTTGTCTGAGTGTCTTTAATAGAAGAAATACTGCACAGATTTAACTGCCCAATAAAAGCTTGCCGTTAAGCACTGTAAGCAACGAACTGACCTGGTCGTATAAACGCACAGGTCAGTCAAAAAGTGTACCGAGGTAAACAATAAAATGTAAGGAACTTCAAACCCAACACCAGAAACTCTACTCTAAAGTCAACCAGTTAAGTTATGTATTGGCCTTGTAACAACGGCACTTAAAATCAAACGCAAAATCGACAAATAAATCAAATGCATTGTAATAATCGAACTTGAAAAGGATTGATAACAAAACAAAAAGTTATACAACTTCTAAAATACCACCCAAATTATATAAACTAAACAAATGTGAACTTTAACAACGCCTCATATCACACAAGTGTCAAGTAAACATAGTGAAGTCGCGTCATGCTTAAGAAAATGTTAGGAATGACATGGGACATCAATTGACTGCATGTGATGATTTATTCAACGTGCCATAAGACAAATCCGTCACGTCCCTCCAAGATTTCCCTCGAGCAACTAGGTCGTGCCGGGTCCAGACTGTAGGAGTCTTGAGGAGCTGGCAGGGGTGTGGGTGTGTGTGTGTAGGGTGGGGGTGACTGGTGGGACAACACAATCAGGAATACATAGCCTTTATGTAAGCTACTAGTCACCGTGTTGTATTAATGTCATGAGTTTACCTGCTGAAGAAATTGTCACATCCAAGTGCCATAAGCCTATGTGAGCTGCTAAAGACCGTGTCCTGTAAATACGTCATTACATAGATCCGTATGTCATATCAATGTTATGTGATAACACTATGTGAGTTGCTTAAGTCCTTGTACGTCAATACGTCATTATATAATAACATTTGGTAGCTACAGTAGAACATGTCAGGTCCAAAACGTCATTACAAAAAATAAAATGAAAGCAGCTTTAAAAAGTGTCAAAATGAGACGTCATGATCTACATACAACTGTGTTTGTCAGAAAACAACATCGTAAGTTCCAAACAATAAGACTTGACCTATTGTTTTCTGACCAGCATCTAACACATGTTTACATGTAAAGGTGTTTTTCCTGTCTCTGCATGTCCTAAAGTCTATGGGTGAGCGAACGTGCGCGGCCAGTAAACATGCACGGGTAAGCCGATTACACAAATATTGACACGCCCCCAACCTTGAGATGAAATTAATTTTCTCGAGCCCCCAATGAGGTAATTACCAGAATTAATAAAGTGTGGTTAAACACGCTCATTGGTCACATGCAACAACGAGAACAAGATGACTACAGCCAGGGAAATTAACAAAGATGGCTTTACACAAGAGAGGACTACAGGCTAGCAAATTAACAAAGATGTCTTCACATTAATACATGTTTGTTCTGCTCTACTCTGTCCTGTCTGGGCTAATTAAGTAATATAATTTACATGCTCTTGATAATTAATCAAAAGTTAACTAAAGACGGCTATAGATAACGCGAAGTATTTAGAAAACTAAATAGGTTCTAAACTGATATAAGGTGTTTTTAACTTAGAAACTAATGTTAGTTTATTTTATACAAATGGTGTAGGTTCTAGAAGCTAATTGTCATGTGGGTTTTATAAAATAGAGAATATCACGTATTATTTTGGGGTTTTAAAAACGGCACGTTATGATCTAACATGGTTATACTTTTTAAACGTTGTCTTTAATGTGTGAACTAAAATAGACCACATACAATTGAATGCTACCACCCAAACAAAATAATTATAGTTGATAATTCCAAATTTTAATATTCGTTTCTAGACCTCTACAATTCGCTGGCCCAACAGCTATTGAAAAAAATAATCATTACGGTTTTAGGTTTTGTTGTGGTAGTCGAAAATTTAAAACATTAAAAACTTCATACGGTAAACAACAAACAACCCATTGCATCAGGTTATTCATAGAGCAATTATTTGATGTTTCAGGATTTTTTTTTCTTTTTAAAATTTAAACTGTATGTTGCACGAGAGGATTACGATTTTTTTGTGTACAGTGTTGCTAGGCAATTCAAAATGGCGTCAGAGTCTT